GTGCTGGTTTGTTATGATCCCAGTAAGAAAGGCACTCAGACTCTGTAAAGTATCACTTAAAATTCTATTTATTAGAGCTAGCAATGTAAGAAGAAAGAGGATTAGTGTAGATAATCCTGTGTTCCTTCAGATGCTGAGAATCCTGAGATGTGCAGCGTCAAACAGGTCTCCAGTCAGGGCGCAGCCTGCCCAGTGGATCGTGTCCATGGAAAGGGCTACCCCATTTTGTCTTTTGAGTTGTTATATGATTTTCTTAATAGAAAACTACTCATCAGTTCAATTGTTAAATGGAAAGGATGTTTTGAGGATAAGTTGTTGCTGCACTTTCAGATAAAGACAAGGACACGCAGGTGGTGTAATACCAAGCGGGAGCTGCCTACAGGCTCCTTCGTTACACCTAGCTGCTAAGTTTATCCTGTGGCCAAAGGATAGGTGCAGCCCAGCACGGGCCCAAAGGCCAAACTAACACACAGCATAGCGCAGCACGGCACAGGCCAGCATCTGCTCAGGTTAGCTGTTTTGTGGATCACTAGCTCCTCCATCTACAGTGATCTTCCAGCTAGGATCACTACAACGCTTAACCTCGACTCAGATTGCCCAGATGCAATCATGCTTTGTGGGTTTCGGCGTGGTACAAAAAAAGGGAGCCAGCACAACACAGATGTCTGACCACTTGTAGTATAATATAGGAATTGTTTCGTTCCCATCTGTTACAATGACAGAGCAGAATTTGTTCATTTAGTACTGGAAGTTGCAATTCTCTTTTCACATTTCAGTAGGAGAGCCTCTATAACAAATGCACAGAATTCGTTTGTAGAAAAATTTTATTTATCTGCTTATCTTTCCTGTGCCCTCAAGCTCATGATTCTGGCAGTAACCTCTCACTTGAATACTCAGGTGTTTTCAAGAGTGTCTAGGCCATCAGTCATCTAAGGAAAGTAAATATGTTTTTTCACTTATGAGTAGGTAAGCTTATTGAGTGACTAGTGCTCCTTAGGATTAAAGATTCCATGAAACTGAGTAAATAAAAACAAATTAAAAATAGATAGAGAAAGAATTACGGAATGCTACACATTTTGTGCGCAACTCCTGAAACTGTTAAATGAGGATAAATTATTTGACAGAATCATCCAAAGGCATGATTTGATGGAATTTTTATACACTGATTATCTGTTCTGAGTTAATGCTTATTAAAAGGGGATTAATCTACATTCATATTTGAGGAGCAGCTTATCAGAAAAAGGAATGGGACTTGGCTGGTGACATTAAAGTTTTCATTTGTGGTAGGAAAATGTGGCCTACTAGAGATAGGCATACAGAAAGCTTTCTAAAGCTTTCTTGCCTCAGAGTGTCAACTTATGATACATTTGTATTTTTCCAGTTCTAGCAAGCATGAAGATTAAGTTTAACCTTGTCAGATAATATTAGTAAATAGTGTGGGTACTTCCTCATACATTTTTTAAAAAATATGGAAAAAGCTCTTTAGCATATGCTGGTTTTCATAGAAATATATAAAATATAATTTCCTTAACTATTTATGCTTTTAAAATGTGCTTTGGCTTATATTCTGCATTTTTACAGTCCTTGAAATATACACTGGTGGGGATTCCTTCAAAATCTCCCTATGCAGAGGTTTTTTTTTTTCATCTTTTGAAAACCAATCTTATCCCTGCTGGTCTTCAGCCTTTCTAAAACGTGTATCAGATGCAAAGAATGCTGAAAGAGCTTTTTTGCTTCCTCAGTGATAAAAAGCAAGGGAGATGGTTGGGTCAGTGATAGGGACATCCCTTCCTTCCTCCTCTTACATTACCCCTTGAAATTGTTCTGCATCTTTTTGAAGTGGAGACAGGCTGAATAAAGCCAGCTGTCTGTGTGTTTTAGTTTTGCAGTGACATCTACAAGTCTGCATTGCATTAAGTATGCTCCTATTCAGCCGGTTAGGCTTGTTTTGTAATTGCAGAAATCAAACTGCAGGCAAAAATGCTGACAAAACGTACGGCAGGAATGATAAACATAGTGCTTATGTTGGCAGCCTGACTATATCTTCTGTCGTTAGCTGTCTTTCCTTTCATAATATTGATGCTAAAAGAAAGACATCTTCTCTATCCACCCTCAGGTAGCCCATTTATAGAAGCCATCAGGAAAGTGATTTTTTTCCTGCAATGTCCCAATGACATCTTCACACTTCAAGAGGGATTTTGGTTAGCTTAGTTGATGCGCCAGAGCCTTTTCCAACAAGAGTAATAACTACAGTATTTCCTTGTTTCTTTTTTTATAAAGATTATAACCATCCTTGCATTGGTATACAATATGGAGGAGAAGTAGAAGAAACTGTATTCTTTTCCAATCCCATACATATTACATAAGCCAGGTACAGTCTTGCTCAGAAAAAGCAATGTCACAGCAAAGCCAGTTTCTTTTTAATAGCCTTTTTTGAATTCAGTGCTAAGCTGAACCTTCGTTTCTGAAAAACAGGATTTATATTGGAAGAACATAAAATTGTCTATAGAAACAAACAGGAAAAGTTCACCACCCCCAGTATATGGAGATAGCAGTACAGAGAGTAGATGCTGTGATACCTGTTTCTTCTCAGCAAGCTGATATGCCACAGCCAATCTGCAGCAATTATGGCTCTATAGAAGAGGTTTTGAAGTCATGTCTTCTTGTTATGTTTCTCACAGCATGTCCTGAAGTTTTTTCCATACCTCACTGCACAGAAAAAATATATCTGGCAACTGTTGTTGCTGCAGTCTCACACCAGCTCCTCCATTTTAGCTTTGCTCTGTAAAGGTACACCAGGGATATAAATGTTCTGGAGGCCATAAATACTGATTTTTTTTCCCCACATCACATACATCGTTAAAAATCTCACACACATGTACATGCTATACAAGTGCTGACAATATTACTTTAAAAATATTTCTAATAATCTGTTAGTCTAAACAAAAGCATTAATCCCAGGAAGTTTTCAGAAAATATATTGCGCAGGGATTCCCTTAAAATAGTAAAACTTTATTTATAAGGCTCCGTGCAGGTCCGTACGAGCCCGTGGAGGCCGACATGGGCCTGTACAAGGCCCTGAATACATATCCGTTTTTGGCTTTATCTATTTCTGAAAGGATCAGCTGTTGCTTTGACAAATGCAGAAAGTTGGAGAAATGAAGTATAAAATGAGAAGGAGAGGAGGAGAAAGGAAATGGCATCTATATTAAAGTGCTAATGTACTTCTGACCAGCATATCTTGAAACACAGTCGGTCAGTACCCACCTCTTTGCATATTGGTGCATAATATCCACAGCACCTCAGATTATTCACTTTTAAGCAAAGAATAATACAGTTGCTTGATAGCCTATTAAAAACAACATAAATAAGAGTAGTGTTGGCTCTAAAGTCAATTAGCTGCGGTGTTTTTAACAGGTCTTATATTTCAAAGCAGACTTTTATTTAATACTTCCCATTCTAGCATTTGATTTTTTTTTCATTAATTGGTTTGATTACATCTTTTGAAAATTCAGCTATTAAACATTTTGATGTGAAATATGACTGCAGTGATTTTCTAATATTGATACTAGCCTGTTCTGTGGTGATGGGTAATCAGTCAACCAACCCAAGCACTCTTCCAGCATGGCTTCCAAAGGAGTCAGTTTTATCCCTTATTTTTTGTGCATATGCTATGAAATTACCCCAGAATTGAGAAAGGGGCAATTACGCTATGAAGCATCAGAAGTATTTTGCTGGTGGGTTAATGTCATTGCTAATTTTTTAAAGATCACAGCATTTCCATTGGTTATGGTACTTTTCTCTGGTTAGAATGACCACATATAATGCAAAGCCTAATCCTGATTTAGCGTAGCTTGGACTAATATTTGGAAAACCTTACAAATAGTCCAGTAGCTATAATTTAATGAAGGGGATATCTATCTCAGAAAGGTAAATAAAACTCCTGAATTGGAGCCTGTTTTAAATTAAGCTAACCACAGACTCTTGTGTTCCTCTCTGAATTTCCAACCCGCATCTTGTCAGAGAGCTTTAAGGATGCAGGTGTCTAGGATACTGAAATAATTACTGTTCTGCCTTACCTGTGCCTAATAATAAATAATGGAATATTGCCACTGAGAATCAGAGTAGCTTTTTGGCCTTGATACAAAATTTCTGCTGATGATTCAAAAGGGAGCATCAAATGTTGTCAATTAGCAGCTTACTGGTAATATGGGTTTGCCTATATTGCCCTGAAATGTAATCCTGTTAATATAGATAAGGGAATCCTGTTAATATAGATAAGGGATAGGTGCTTTTTTGTCAAATACTCATAAATGGAGCCATAAAAAGATTTGTATGCCTCTGAACATATCCTTGGCATCCCCCATGGCAAGACTGAAAACACTTTCTCTATGTTTTTCATAGAGAAAACACCTTTCTCTATGGCACTGACATATATGTATTTATGTATGCGTGCTCTTTCTTCTACTGGATCTTTAATGGAAATGATGTAGCTTTACGCTTTTTTTTCACCCTTGAGCTCCGACAGAGCTGCCACCTCTTTATCTTTATCCTGGAAGGTGGCATATTTGTGGAGTGACATTATACTACTGCATTATGACATGATGATGTTAACTCACTGGTGCAATGTCATTATGTACTGAAGCAGAAGCATGCCAAGAAAACAATTTCATCACACGGCACAGTTTTGCAACATAAAGTCATGTGAAGGGCTTATGGCAAAAGCAGGACTCTTTACCCATGCTGCCAGTTTGCCTTGCAAGCTACAGAGCGAATTGATGTTAATCAATCATGTGCAGTGAAATCCCAAACAAATTGAGTTTGATTCTTTTCTGATAGTTTTTGTAGTTTATTACGTGATGATGCCAAGAGGCCTCTGATCTTGGACATGAAGCAATTCACATTGTTGTTTATAATTATCACTAATTGATTTTTCCCTGTCTTATATGTGTGTATGTGTATGTGTACACGTTTGTTTTGTTTTTCCAACCAAAATACAGTCACTTTCCAAAGAGGAGATGGAGGACTAATGAGCAATGGAAGGTATGTTTCATTGTAAAAAGGTCTGTTTCCACCATATTTGTTTTTAAAATTAGGAATCTGAAAAATTCTATAGGTCATGCTCTGTGGTAATAAATGATCATTTGTAAGATTGACAATTCTAGAAGGAGTTAAATAGCTTACCACGAGGTTTAATGATCTATCTATTGCGCACTTTGGAGGAATCAAGTCCAGATGTTTCATATCTCCCAGATGCCCTGGAAGAAATTAGTAGTAAATATCACAAGGAATGTGTTCATTTGTTACCAGGATGTTTATTGCATTAATTAGACATTAGCAAATGAAGTTGCTGTTGTTTAAGACTCCTTATTGGCTCCCACTAAATTGCTGTGAGTGAACAATTACACATAATCGATCACAAAATAAATGATTCATGGATGATGAATAGGTTGGAGATTGATAGGACTGAATTCCACAACTTTGGCTACTCAATTGAAATTGATAAAAGCTGATAACGGACCCATATATCCTCATCTATTTTCCCTTTGCCAATATGGAGATTGTAATTAGGCTCTGGTAATAACTTCCAATCTCCCATTTAATCAATATTTTAGCAAAAAGAGATTAGGCCTAATGAGAGCTAGTGGAGGTGGCAAGAAAGCTGCTGGATCGTCTTATTGCTGTTTCCATGGAAACCTATGTTTCTCTTAGGCATCGTACCAGGCCTGCTTGGGGTCTATCAGAAATAAAGAACGGTGATTATAGATGTTGCTTCAGCTTCATGAGCGCATGAATTATCCAGAAAAGCCTCACAGCTGTAGATTATTTTTTGTTTTGCTTTACTTTTTTTAACATGAAATGATTTATTTTCCATGTTGAATAAGAATATAAACAGTCTACATGCCTTGCCAAATTTCAGGCTGTTTATCCTGGGGGGAGAGACACACAGTGGCTTATGGCCCAACTTTACTTTCTTTCGACTTACTTGGTGTGTAATACTGCTCTCAAAGCTTGACATTACAAGAATATGAAAGCATGTGGTAGTTGCAGATAGTCATGGACTTTCCATTAATCCTACTCAAACCTATTTGCCTCTAAACCGTACGAGAGTGCACAGAGGAAGAGTTACCAGCCTGTGGATGACAGAGGTGCATTTGGGATGCAAGGGAAGGAAGAAATTGTAGCCCAAAGTCCTGGAAATGGCTGATAGAGAGCAATCAGTTTGAATAATTGTTCTCTTGAGGTTGTAATTTATCATTCAGCCCTGGTTTAGGATCCCACGACAGTACTGCCTACCCCCTGTTTCACACAGACAACGGAGTTCATTTGGATTCTGGCAGAATCACGACTGATGCCTGGTCCCAGTTCTACTGACAAAGATGATTTGTATATATCCCTAATTAACTGCTGGAGGTCTTTAAATCATCAAAGCCTACACAATTTTAATTTGAAATAAATTAAAGTCTCCTAAACTGTTTGTTAACACATGGTAGTAGGAGAAAAATGATATGATCTCTTCAGTCACTGTTGTGTCCATGTTATCTCATGGATATTTTACCTTTTCACAAATAAATAAATAAATAAATAAATAAATATATTTTACATGTATGTATTTGTATGTATATCTTTTTTTTTTTTTTATTCTACTTCAGTCGACCAGGTCTGTTGAATGCAAGTGACCCCAGTTATCCTTGGCTTGCAGACTCTTGGCCTGCCACAAGTCTGCCGGTAAACAACAGCACTAGCGGACCCAATGACCTTGGAAATTTTGGTCGTGGAGGTGGGTTTTATTTTATTAAGACACCATATAGTGTACAATAAGCTTCTGTTACCTAATAGCTATGATAAAAACTGTGTATTTTAATTTTGTTATAGTGTAAAGCCTAGTTCTTTCTATATACTAAGTTTGACTCAAAATTTGCTTTAAAATTAGCTTTAAAATGTCCCTTTTGCTGTGTCCCTTTTTACTTCTTTGCGACATCGCTCTAGTTTGTAATTTACCCCACAGTGGTAAGACAGGATCTGGGCATCATCTCAGAAGGAATGTATTTGTTACTCAGATTCCTCCCCTTCTGTGTGGAGATGGACAATCTGCTTTATGGAGTATAGTAGCCGGGGATGGGGGATGTTCATAAGGGTGGGCAAGAGCCCGGGGGGTACAGGAAGAACGTTCTTTCAGCAGCTGTGCCCAAGAACATTGTTGCGCTTGCCTTCCCCAGGCCCATCCTGTTGAAGAACAGGATTGACAGGATGTCCATCTCAGACATAATGCATAAAAAAGGCCTCAAAAGTCTTCAAAACCTTTCCTTCTTCTTGGAGGAAATAACAGATAAAAGGGAACTATTTAGATTTTTTAGGGTTTTTTTTTCGCATTTGAATTGAGAGAGGGCCTTTGGTGAGGGGAGACAGTGATTTATAACTGTGGTGATGAATCTTTAAAGAGGTTACTTTCTTTCAAACGTTCTGTTCAAATGGGAGTTAAAAAATGAATAATTGACGTTTTAAAAAGGCAAAGAAATATTCAAACCTATATGTAACTTCCTTCGTGTCTGTGACGTTATAATACAACTAGTTCCCCAGAGGAAGACTTCCTAACAAAAATGGCTATGTAAATATGTTTAAGACATAAATAAGGAAACAAAAATTAGGACAACTTTATATATCAAAAATACATTAAAATGCAAAAAATGTGTGAAAACATAAAACTAATAAATGTAAAAAGTTTTTAACTTTGAACTGTATCAGAATCCTCCTGCTGGGTTGTACATGCCCATGCAAAATTTCTTCCCTGTGGTTTGACTATGACTTCAAATTACATTAAAACATTTTAGATTTATTTTCCATATGAAACTGTTTTAAAGCTCTTGTCTTACAAAAATGGTATTATAAAATAAACAAATCTTTTGATAATATTTAGAAGACAGTTGAATGTCTGCCAGCTTCTTTGCTGTAAATATCTTGAAAATATAACTCTTCAGTTTTCAGACTTTTCCATCTTTTCCTGAGCTCACATAATGCAGAAAAATTAACATTGTCTTTTAGCGTTTGGCTCTGTAAGACTCAAACTGGAAGCATGTTTTAAAGCTTTTGGCTTCAGTGTGGGTGAGGTGTAGGTCCAAATTCATCCAAGAGATGCAGCATTTGTGTTTGGAATTTCAGCAGCTAAATTCCACGCATAATCTTTACAGTCAAGCCTGCATTTGTATTGTGGCTGTGTAGGGACCACTTATCATTATCTATTTCAACAGCTGAGTTTTGGATACTTCTGCTGTCTGTCTCTTTAATATGAAGGAACTGTACAGATTGAACTTGAGACTCTCTTATCGATAAAAGGTTCTGGAGCGATGTAGAAAGTCTGTCAGAATTTTGGAAACAGTAACGTGACAATCACTCTGGAGCAGAAACTGAGGAAGGCAGTTTCCACACTGCCTTTCGAAAGTGACTTCCGCATCATGTCCTGGATTGACATTTGAGAGCAAGGCTATGGGTGGGAAGCACAGGTTAAGTTTGTAATCATGTAACACCACAAAGTAGAACTGTGTCCCTCACAAGGTACTTTAGAACTATATTTGAATTATTCCAGGAGCTACAAAACAAGTTAGGTTTTGGAGAAGTTTGGGGAAAATGGGAAATGAGTATTCATCTTTGATCTAAAATGTACAGAGATTTTTTGCTATGGTGGGAAAATCACACTTGATTTTTACTAGGTGATTATGGCACTTTGTAAAATAACACTTCAATAGCTCTTTGAGTGCTTAGTATAAACATCTCACTGAGGTCAAAAAACTAATCTATGGTTATGCTGAAAATTCCCAGTGTATTTGGAGATCTTCAATTTATTAGCAAGACAGATTGAAATTCTTGGCTAGGAGGAAGCTATGCAACTTTCCTTTCAAGTCTGTGCAAACGTCTAGTCCTTTGTTAAAAAATGACTAGATAGAGGTGACACCACTTAACTGAAATGTACTCTGAAGAGTAGATGAATGTCTGATTACTTTAGAGAGGTGAATATTTTATTAATTTTTACTTCTGTCACTCTACAGATCCCGCATAGATTCATCTGGACTTAGTTTGGTACATCGACAACAGAATTTACTTACTAAATTTCAATCCATATATGCTTTGATGAAACCATATGTGGAAAAGCAAAATCTTATGTTGTGGATGAAATGCAGGAAAGATATGACTGCACTTGACTCTCATATCTCACACTACATTTACACATAAATGCTTTTATGATTGTATACTGAGCCTGGAAAGCACATTATATATGTGCAGATATAAGGTAGTAATAACGTAATTTTTGAAAGATGGCCTGTGGTTTACATTAATTGTAACTGTTTGTCGCACTTAAATTTATCTGCAGATAGAGGCATTTTAAATACTTGGTTGTTCCCATCTCCCTGAATGTCTAAGCCCTGTTGTGGTTGCCTGCAAAAATAGATCTAAATGGTAGATCCAAATTTAATCTCCGTTTCCACAGTCTTTTTATTGAGCCTTTTGTTGTTGCTATACTTATTGTTAATATTATGTTGCTGCCCTGAGATTACAAGTGGCATTAGGGTCTATATTAAAATGTTCGCTGTAGGACAGATGCATGCGAATAGTCCCATAGCCTAAATGGTCAACCCCGAAAACAAAAACAGTGGGGGAAAAAACGTGACACCATATCCTATTGCCAGAAAATTCTTGAGACAGTAAGAGAACAACGGTATTCCCTGAGCTCACACAGAACCCATGTCCGAGCCAGGAACTGAGTGAGCCTAAATCCTTCTCGAGGTGCAAGAATCATCTTTTCTCTTTGGGGCTTACGGTCTATAAAAGCATCTGTGATGGGATCTGAACATTCTGACTATAGGAGCATGCATTATCTGAATTATGATCTTAGAGTCCATGGCTGTCATCATGCTATATAAAGCAAATGGCATCTAAAGGATGCATTTTTCTAACGATCAGATTCCAGAATGAATTCAGCTTTTCAGCGTCTAAATAAATTGTAAAAGTAGCAGCATTTGAAATATTAACCTCTGAGAGAACAGGAGAAGGGCTATTCGCGGAGCTGTGGTTCTCCTTGGGATGTTGTGCCAGTCATCATTAGATTCGTCATGCCTCAGTAGTCTCAGCTTCTAAATCTAGTATTCCACTAGCGAATGTCACTAGCGTATTTAGTAAGACGAGAGAATGCCAATCGACAGGATTAACGTTATAAATTGTACTGTGTGTTAGGATTTAAAAGATGCAGAAATGTCAACAGATATCTAGTTAAATATGCTCTACTGTTTTTCAGGTAAGTGTACTGACTATTTGAAGTTTTTGTTCTCCATTATGAACACTACTTTGCCTTTTTAAGAGACTAATCACTTAAATCCCTTCAGAATAACAGAATTTTAGTTTTCACATTTCAGGAACAACTTATTTTTGTCAGGCTTTTCTTTTACTGGCAAGGAGAAATGTACTAGTTAGTGCCTAAAAGGAAATTAGATGAACTGATGCTTTCAAGGAAGTGCCCTTTCAAGGGATGCTTTCAAGGGAAGGTGGTGCCCTTAAAGAATTACTCTGAGAGTTTCAGCATCCATTTAATAGTTTTGCTAGGTATTTGCTGGGAAAGTTTCCTCTGTGAGATGTAGATTCTCTCCTTTCATCACTTCCCTGAAGCCCAGACAGATTCTGACTTATAGTGAACAATTGAAAACATTCTTCAGTAGAGAAATATCTGAAACCTCACTTTCACAGTTGAAGGTATGGAAAGAAGAGATGGTTTTAGGCAGTGAGACGTGAAGGACAAGTGGTAGGCCTGTCACAGATGCTGATAGCTTGGCGATGGTTGTACATCATCTTCCCTTCGTTGGCTCATGGACCTGTCTCAGCTGAAATGCAAACGTGCACAGTGACACATTTATTTTTCATCTTAAACCTTGATATTTTCGGGCTTCCTGTGCATCAGTGATTTGTTTCATTCCCCTATGTTCACCACAGATGTGCTGCCACCAGTGCCAGGGCAAGGAGATAAAACTGCTACTATGCTTTCGGATGGAGCCATTTACAGCAGCATTGACTTCACCACCAAAACTAGTTACAACAGTTCCAGCCAGATAACGCAAGCTACGCCATATGCCACCACGCAGATACTGCATTCCAACAGCATCCATGAGTTGGCAGTCGACTTACCTGATCCACAGTGGAAAAGCTCAATTCAGCAAAAAAATGACCTGATGGGATTTGGCTACTCTCTCCCAGACCAAGGCAAAGGCAACAACGGTATTTCCAGTTATTTTCCAGAGCCCTCGGCTTTATGTTATATCATCTATGCATGAATTAGAAAATTATTTTTGGTAGGTGGGGCACTGCTCATTTTTGCCATAACTAATACTTGCATCCCTTGCATGCGTGCTGAACTTCCCTCTGCCACCAAATACATTGTTCTGTGCTTTCAATCCTCTCTGTCCTGCGATAACTACCCGCCCATCTGCCTTCCATTAGGCTAGGACAGGCATACATAAAAGGTTAAAAAAAAAAAGCGATTGAAGAAAACCGCAGTCCCGCCACATCTGCCGTTGACTCGCTAACTGCATGTGTTGCATGTGCTTGTGCTGTCAACTAATCACACGACGCCACTGTGACCTGTGCCCTTTAACCCTTAGCCTTGCTTTACATCCCTGACTACCGCGTGGCTGAGGGCTTGGCTAATAGATTGCCACACAACCAGTCGCAGGATTTCAGCACCACCAGCTCCCACAACAGCTCCAAAAGCGTCCTCCCCCGGGAACGTCGACGAGCAGCATCACGTCGGCCACCGCTGCGAAAGAAAGGAAGGAAAGAAAGAAAGAAAAAAAACACCCCAAACCCCAAAAAGCCTTTTACAAAACCTCCTGGAAAATCCTCCCAACCAGTGTACCCAGTGCTTTGCAGCCATTGCAAACCTTCCTTTGTAACATTCTTGCCCTGACAGCGTACTGCAAATATATTTCCGCACCAATCCACAGTTTGTAGGCCTTCCAGCGCTAGACTTCATGAGGAGATGAATGTTTTTGTTGAGTTGCTACCAGATTCCTCGCTCACACGAGCTGTTTCTCAATGGTTTTTTTTCAGTCAAGCAGCTCACTCAGAGATAAATGTAGTCCCTGTAAGATGATTGGGGTTGTGCCAAGTCTGCATACAAACAGAATATAAATTTTGTGTATGTGCTGCATGTTATACTCGAAACATGACACATTTTCATTGGATGAAAATGACTGTAATACTTGTGATTGTGTATTACATTTAAATACACCTCTTTGATTGATTTCTTTAATTTTGCTTACTTGTTGCTTATGTTACTTTATGTGTAATTATGTCTTTTTTTCAAGAAGAAAACTAAAAAGCCTACAATTAAAGCGGAAGTCAGCTATTATGCCTAACTAAAATAGGAGAGAGCTGAAGGGACTTCAATTTCAAATTTGTACTATATCTGTAGCCTTTTGAAGTTCAATTATAAGTTGGAGCTATCATAATAGTACAGATCAACCCCAGAAATGGCTTCTTTATGTCAATCTTAATGACTTTTCAAAATGAACATTGAGATTAGAAGCCTCTAAACGTTGGCCCATAATTCAAATAGCCAAATGTATTTACAAGTCTTGCATTTTTATGGAAATACTAGCTGCTTTGAGTGAGACAGAAAAATAGGCTTATAGTATTGACAGGGAGGACAGGGAGTTAAGTTCATGTGACACTTTAGGAAAGGTGCTTGTGCCTTGTATGTGAGCTGTATTGGCAAGTAGCTTAGAAAATCAGCTTGCTCCTCTGACTGCATGAAAATGCAGAAATTGATATGCTGAGGTACATATGTGCCAGTTATCAAAGGGCACTATCACACTTTAAATGTGTTGACAGTTGCAGCTGGCTAAGAACTTTCTGAGAAAATACAATGAAAATTTGTCATTGGAAACTGCCAGTTCATCAAAAGCTGGACTTCAAAAAAATATTTCAAGTGAAGTGTGTTTTGTGCAGTGTTTCTCAACTTGAAGTAGAATTTCTAATGACAATCTGGAAATTTCAGGTTAGCTAGGCTTTCCTTGGCCAGGGCACTCCCGGTAGTGACCAGAATAGAGCTCACACCTGGATGTCCTGTGGCTCTGATGAGTGTCAGACTATTGGGCTACAGATTCAGCATTTTGCTTTCTCTTGCCCATTAGTTATGTATATAATACAGACCAAGCAGCACCATAAGAAATTGAGGAAGACCTTCAAGTAGTCCAATAATTAGAGTGTCACTGGAGTCAGAGACCAGCTTTGATTACCTAGTCCTCATCAGGGTGAGCAGGGACTTTTTTGTCGCTTCCTTGGTTAGTATTTTCAGTATTTATTATTCTAAGTCTCTCTTTCCAGCAAATACTATGAGAAATCTTATCCCACTCTGGATTGGAAAATAGCTAAAACCTCAACTGCTTTGTGAAGTAGGGATGTTTTGCAGATGTGCTTTTCACAGCGCCCAGCTTGTATCAGTGCTGTAAAACCATCAGCCTAACTGGCAAATTCTTTTCCTAGGGTCTGATTCATCCAGAGATGTAGGCAATATAATTGAACTTCAATGTGAGGAGATACTGAAATATCTAGACTCATTGATATGGGGAAATAAGGCTTCTGTGCAAGTGTTCAAATGCAGATCAGGCACTGTGTAAGAGTTGTCTTCTCCACTAGTCTGAGAGTAACTGTGTCCATAGGGTAAGGAGAACAGAAATGTCCTGCCCAGCTGTATAGTGCAGGTTGTTTTCCTTACCAGTAATGTCCCTGGACTACCTTTCTTTTATTTCTTCATCTGAGCAGTTTCTCAGCTCTTCGCTTCACTCTTTCTAATAGCTCCGTTATCTTTGCCCTCTCTCTCCGAAACTCTACAGTATATGCCATATTTGTATCCCACACATCTAACTTCCATTTTTACCAATCTCCTAAGCATACCAAGATGCTACACTTTCAAAATTGTCCTCTTCACCTCAAGTATCTCTGAGATGAAGGTCTCCTCTGCATTTCTTTTCTCTGAGTACTCCTCCTTTAATCCCCCTCCTGCACAAAAGCGCACTCACAGACACACACACGCGCGCGCGCACACACGCACACACACATACACACACACACACATACACACACACACACACACACATACACGCACACGTGTGCACTTCCCTCCCAAAACAGCCCCTCCTGCAGCTCTTTTTGATTCCTGTCCCTGCAGACTTTTCCAGTTTTTCCCCATGTCCTACTAGTTAAAGTTTGTATACTTCCTTTGTACAGTTCTGTGACCTTATTTCTAACTCTGCTTTTGCCCGTACCTGTACTTTGAGAGCTTTGTTTTCCCTCAAGATGTTTCATGCATTTGTTCCCCCATTGCCACTACCACTGGGATTTCCTTTTTGTTGATCAAAATATTCTTTCCCTTTTCAAGAACACTTCTTCCTCTCTAGCAGGCTACAAAAGAACGGAAGAGCCTGTCTTGCAGCCTCATAGATGGAATATCAGCTCAGTTCCCACACAGTGAATGACAGGATCTTCTCTGGACTTTCTATAAATATCCCAGGTCAAGGAAGGAAGAGCCCTGGTCTGGAACTGGGCTGTGGAGAGAAAAGGGTCCCCCTTGCAACCTGCTGCCGGCTAGGCTGATTAGAAATCTTGCCAGACAACAAGCCTGGCTCTAGCAACCAGAACAAGAGGTGAAAAGAAAAGGCTTGGCTGGTTCTAAATCACACAAACAGATTATTTCCTCCCTCTCTATTCTTTCCTTTTTGGGTCCAGCTGACAGCTGGAGATAGAACAAGCTGATGTCTCTCATACCACAAGTCCCGTGACACGAGCTTGTCTCTGTCCCTAGAATTGCACCTCCCCCTGGATGTCTCTGCGCCTAAAAAAACTAGAGCCCCAGCAAACAGGCTGCTGTGTGCCAGTGCACACAGTTCCCCCCCTTCCTTGCAAATCAGTTGTGGCTTTTTTGAATCATTGCTGTTGAGAACTTTTTACATGTTTTTTCGGCTGATGCTTATAAATCAGCGTGAGATGACAATGGGTAAACTGGATTAGACTGTGCTTTCTGCAGCAGGCAAAGAGAGAGTGACTGCTAGCTGCGCGCCCCACTGAAAAAGCGTATGACAGACAATTCTGCCAGACAACCCAGTGAGTTTAAAAGCCGCAACAAAGTGGCAAAAAAATAGATGGATCTGAAAGCAGTCAAGAGTCTTAAAATAATTTTTGTCCCATTCTTCTTCCTAATGAGTTGCTGACTAGAAAAAAAAATGGTGAGTTTAAAAAAAGGGAGGGGGAACAAGCAGGAAAAGAGTTTTTTCTGTAAAATCGTTCTTTAAGACTTTCCCACAAATAAAATTGTCTCAAATGGAGAAATGGATACAAGGACAATAAGAAAGGAGAAGAGGGCTAAAGCAAGATACCTTGCTCATCTCATTTCCACCAGCATCTTCCATTAGAGTTGTACATCAGATTTAGAACTCTGTCCATTTTGGCACAAGATATTTGAATCCTGTCCTAAAACATTGCAAACAGCTTGCTGATAGTTTGAAAAATGGAACATACTAAATTCATTTGAGCAAAAAACACCATTTCTTTTTGTTTTGACAACTTACACTTGTCATTCTGACTGAAAGAAGTTAAGTTTCATGACAGTTGTTTGAGATTGTGTCCTTAAGCTCTTTGTTTTCCACAGAAAGAGATTATGCAAAGCAGTGTTACAAGCACACTGGAATCTGACATTTGAAATAATTTTCCATGGTCTATTATATTTTTATCCAATAATGAATGCAAGAAATCCTAAAGTAGACATGAATAAATCAATAAATACATTTTTGATACAGCAAAATATATCTTTCTTTGGTTATGCACTATTGTATTGCGACTATATTGAGTTCCTATTTTAAAAAGAAGTGTTTTTCAGCAATTATGCAGAATATTTTTCCATTTCAGTCTGTTATTATTTATAACCTTGTAACAACACTAACGCATTGATGCTGATTCTGCTAAGATATAAAAATATCTTCTTTTTTTCGGCATGCCATCTGGAATCAAAATTCTTCCAGAGAAGTGTAAATAGCTAGCTTTCTCCTCACATTATACCTCTAAGATTTTGTTTTTCTTTTTGGGTTTGCAGGTGGAAAAGGAGGGAAAAAGAAGAAAAGCAAAAATACTGCCAAGCCTCAGAAAAATAATGGTTCAAACTGGGCCAGTGTTCCCCTCCCACCTCCTCCTGTGCAGCCGCTTCCAGGCACAGAGCTGGAACACTATGGGGTGGATCAGCAAGAAGCAGGGTAATTTTTTTTCTTTTTCTGTTGAAGAAAAATCCATGATTTGCAGAGATGAGGCCTTTTCTGCCAAATAACAATATTATTCTGTTTTGTTTTTTTTTGTTTGTTTGTTTTTAAAAAAAGGAGAGAGGCTTATCCTATAGCCTTATTCAAGGCTATAGAAGAGGAATGTTTGAATAGCTTCTCTTGATGGTGACTGAAGATGGAAATAAAAGTGACCTTGCTTCATCATCATGTAGGGCTTCTATGCTTACTCATGCTGAGAAGTATCTTGCTTCACAGGTAGCTTAATTGAATTCTTTTGGACTACTTGCAGATGATGGGACTCAGAGTGAGTAAGGATGACATAATCTAGCTCTTTGTGGTTTTTTGCTGGTTTAATGTTTAGAAATGTGAGAGCAAGCAGAACGAAAAAAAAATCTCTAAATTGGATTAATTTTAGAAGATCAACCAGTGGATAATAATCTTCTCATCGGCTTTTAGAAGAAATTTCACGGTTGAGAAAAGCATGCTATTTGTAGACGTTTTTAAACTTTAAACAACTCTCAAATTTCTGAAACCTTACACTTATATTTGGATAGCTTAAACTTGTTCTCAAGGATGCATAATCACATAAAAAGCACTAAAAAGGAAAGAGACATTTCCTGCACAGAAAGCAATCATGGAGTGTTTTTTTATAATTTAGAATTATATGAAACACTGTTTTATCGAACTCTGGAGAAAAAAATCGAATATATAGAAAAATAGTTTAATGTGATCATCTCTGTTGGAGTCTTTGAGAATCACTGAAGTTCTGACTGGTACCAATTTCTGCCTGTTTGAATTCATGGATTAATCAATATTTCCTAAGGATGAAAGACAAGTTTTAAAAATCACTGTAATAGCTTGTTGAATAAAAATATTTTAAATGCTATCTCTTTTATAAGGACAAAACTGGTCATTACTACTTTTTAGAAGAAATAAATGTTAACATTTGGATTTATACCAAGTCCTTCAACTCAAATTGAATAATAACTAATTGTGTCAGTCAGTGAAGTCCCTTCAAAATGAAATTCCCTTCAGATTGTATATGAGTTAGAATTCCAAAGTAAATGGGAGGGACACTGTATAACCTTACTGATTATAAGTGTTGCTTAAACCTCAAGGCAAAAAAGTGCATAAAATCATTATATTCTTTATTCTGCTAAAAAAGCTAAAATAAATTTGAAATAGTGTAGCTGTATATTTCCCAATGTTAGTTTACGTTCTTAAAAATTCCCATGCAACTGTTTCATTAAACTAATTGTGCTATAGTAAGCAAACAACTTATGTTTTCTTTAATGACAATACAATAGTGTAAAAGGTAGGTAAACTGATATACGTTCTTGTGAAAGCCTTTGTGACACAGGGCTTGACTCCTCAGTTACATAAAATATTTGTTATCTAGCTGCAAGAAATTGTGTTAGTTACCAGCATAATGCTGGTTATTTAAGGATACAGTAAAGTTCTCCAAAATTCACACTTAGTTTTTCATCTGTTTTTCTTTCAAATTACTCTTTTCTGTTCTTTTTTTTTTTTTTTTTTAGTATTTCATTAGTAACAGTTGTAAGCAGACCTTCTAATGTGCATCTTACCAATCAAAAACAAAAAAGAAATTGAAAATTAGGCTTACAGTGTCAG